ATCCTAACAGTATTTTCTGTCTGTCATAATGAAACTGTTCATTGTCAATTCTGTGAAATACTACAGGTGTTAAAGTAATACTGGACAGTAGCTATCGTTTATGATAAAACCATTTTTTCGGACCTATTGTAGCCACATCATGAGGAAGAAAGAAGTGAGAATTTTATAGAGCATTTATTGTCATTTGTTCTGTTCCACTTTCATAAATGAATCCCACAGTCACAGTGGAAATGGGTAAAGTGTTGTTCCCTCCACAAAAAAACCCCTTTGTGTCATAGAGATCCCAGAAACGCTTTGCAAGATTTTCGTCACCCAGACTTCCTTTTCTTTGCAAAATATCTAAAGATAACTTTTCAGCATATGTTTAGCATAATGTTAACCATTCAATTTGAATTCAAAACCGCTCAAATGTCTCCTCTTATACTTTAGCATACAACATTGTGTTTTATATTTGAAGATACTGAATGTAATAGTGGATGTACACTAACACAGCTCCTCTATTTTATCCAGTGATAGGAATGGACCTTCCTCAACCTGACAAGCTGACGGTGAATATTTTGGATGGGGAGGTAATAATACATTGGAACCGTCCTGGGAACATCTCTTCAAACTCCAAGTATAATGTACAAATGGGAAAGTAAGTTTAATTTCCAAATATTAGAAATAACACTTTAACTCCAGAATTACGACGTCCATTTTACCAACTTGCTAATTTCCTGACAGTCTCTATTTTTTTTCCTATCCACACACTGGTTTTCCTCTTCGCTCTTATTTCTGGGCCACTGATTTTATTCATGTTCAAACACTAAAATGCAAGATTTTATTTTATCTTGTGTTATCCAGTGACTCCATTCATTTCGTTTGGTGACCAGTGTGTATTCTGTTCTCAGATACAATGGTGAATGGACGCCGGTAAAAACCTGCACGGGGATAACAAGGACCTTCTGTGACCTGACAAGTCTTATTCATGATTATCGCACTGGCTACAAGGCCAGAGTTCAAGTGGTTGCAGGAGATGACGCGTCTGCTTGGACAGCCAAGAAAGTTACCCCAAATCAAAGTAAGCGGAACTGTGAGCTTGATATATGAGCATAACATGGTAAAAGATTACCTTGGTAAGTAAATATAAAGCTATTTGTTTTCTTTTCTATTTATCTTTATAGGTGAATTGCTGCCTCCCTCCTTTACTTTGTGGGCGACTTCCAGCACTCTAACAGTTTACGTTCACCAAAAACCCATTCTGAAAAAACTCTTTCCATATGGGGTGATCTACACCATCTACCTGGAGGAAAAAGGGAAACATAATAGGGTAAGACTACATCTTAAAAAAAAAAACAGATTGGGGCTTACTGCATGACTCTTTTGGAAGAAAAAAAAAAAAAGAACAAGCCTCAGATGCATGGAGTTAACCACCATTTTATTGTTTTTACCCTCCAGACTACCACAGCATACCTCAAAGATGACACTGAGATAGATCAGAGAACAAAAGTTTTCTCTTCTCTCCACTGGGGGAGAGAATACTGTGTCAGCATCAAGGTGGAGAGCAATGGAGCTAACTTTGCCAGCACCGTGTCTCAGAGCGAGTGTCTGCTTCTACCAGAGCAAGGTAAAGAGATCATAACAACAATGATGCACAGCAGCACTGAGCAACAGTCAGAGACATTTAGTTCAGTTAATTATGAGATGAGATACATAACATAGAATGTCAATACTACTTTTTTCTTCCTAATCTTGGTGCTAACCCAGAAAAGTTTTCCAGCTGCTGGTTGTAGCTTCATATTTAACAAATAGGAATGAGCTTTGAACTAAGATTTGTTGGAATATAACACAAGTTCAGCTGTATAACTTTGGGGATTTGTTTTTCTCCTCATAACTAATAAATTAGTTTGTGTTTGTGCTCTCTCCAGAATGGTTCATAACCGCTGTGTCGTCCCTGTCTGTTCTGGGTGTGTTGGCTGTCATTGCTATTATGGCAGCTATCCTCCTGTGTTATCTGAGACGTCCAGAGAAAACACCAGTTGCATTGGTAAGTATATCAAATTTCAAAAAATTTGCAAGAGCCGCAGTTCAGCAGATTTGTGTTGTGAACAACTGGCAAAACAGAGCCAGAAAATGTCAAAAATCGAATACAAAGCAAAAAGGAGGTCACAGAAGTGACTGGTTACATCACTTTGTTGATATCATCCTGGCAGAAATGGTTAGTAAGTCACTAATTGTGTTTGTTTGTCTTCTCTTGTGTCACCCTAGAAATCCCCTCTGAGCGGCTGGCATCCACTCTCAGTTGGAGAAGGAACTATGGAAGTCGTTACAGACAAAGGATGGTTCCTTTCCAGTTATAGAACAGAGCTGAAAAACTTTGTCAAGACCCCAGAGGAGGATGTTACAGTAATGGAGGACAACGAGGAGGAAGAAAGAAGGACCAGCATGGACAGCGGAGTAGGCGTGGAGGCTAATTCTGCTACAAACAATGGAGGAAACTCTCCGATGAGACAAGAGGACAGTGGCTGTGGAAGCATGGGAGGACCAGAGAGCTCCACCAGCAGTCAGACAGATTACCCCCTGCAGGATGACACGACTGATACTGATTCAGTTCAGAAAAGGGAGGACAGCGGGATGGGAATGGGCTGCCGGCTCGATTCTTCCTTTGTGAACCTGGATGGACGGGACAGCGGGTCTCTAAAGGAGTCTGTTTCTGTGGGTAATTATCGCAGCCAGAGCTCCTTGGCTGTGCAAATCCACATCTGTGATGAAGAGGACACATTTAAACAGATACTTCCAGACTCAGTTTTGGCCGAAGTGGTCACAGGATACAGAGCTGGGCCTCAGTCATGTATCTGTTCAGGAGCAGGTCAATGCACTTGGTGTCATAATCAAGGCCATTATGGAACTGAAGTTGTCAAACAATACAAAGCTTTGTGCATCGAAAACAGACTGCTGGGCAGCGAATGTAACTTGCAGGACTCTTACAACAGAGAGATTACATTTCAAGGCTATGCTAAGAAAACACAAATGGACACTGTCATGATAGATGACTTGGACACAAAGTTTCTCCACCTTGAGGAGACTTTTCCTCTGCTTACATCTCTCTCACCGCTGCCACTGGTCAACTGTGCACAGGATTTCAATATGAACAATGTGTCCCTCTCCCTTTGTGATGTACAGCTGAAAATTGACTGATTCATTGAGGAATGCAACACTATTTATAGAGTCCTTTTACTGACACAGTTTGTTGTGCTGTTTGAGCAATACACTCCCCATGACACACTTATTGTACTAGTATGTGGTGAAGTGCTCTAGTACGGAAAATCTGTAGAAAAAGGGGAGAAAATGTGAGCAGAAAACAGAGCAAGACTCAGGCAGTTGTTGAACATGGGAAGGAAATAGAGGTTAGACCTCACAGCTGCTGGCTGGTTGACTGTTGATTGAGTCTTAGAGGCTCATGATGACAGAGAACGTAGCATGAAGGCGTCACTTAACCCTGTTTCACTGGGTATATTTACCACTGGCTGATATGTAGCGTGCCGGAAGTGAAACTGGTGTGGGGAGCACTGAAGAGAAACAGTTGAACACTTACGTGCATTTGGACATTTTGCGATATCTCCCCATCATCACTTACAACCTTACATCAGCTACCCACTCTTAGAGCCTGTGCTCAGTTTTTTTTTTCTTTCCCCTTTTGAACATTAGGAAATGAAAATTACTTACGATTTCTCATTTATCAGCAATATTTTCAGATCATATCTCATCATATCATCATTCCACAACAAGTGATGGCAAACACAAGGCAATATAAATGATTAAACCTTTCATGACTTATTTTCAGTATTGTACAGGGCCCTTGGTTTCTGACTCTTTTTTTTTTTTTTGGAGGTCTTGTTTTCTGACACAGAAAGTAACTTTATTTTTTAACAGACTAAACAGCAGACATGTCTTTTTGCTACTTGCCTGTAAAAACTATTTATTAGATGTAATAAAAAAAAATAATAATAATGTTTTTTATTTATTGTGTATTGTGGTGAATTTATGTGACTTTGCTCTTTTACATACGTTTTCTTGGACTTTACACACACACACACACTCGCACGCACAAAAAAAGACTAAACCAGGAAACAAATGCCACAATACTGATTTCAGAAACCATGACAAAAGCAAAACACGAGGAAATCTCAAAATAGCAAAGCAATATCTACGGGAAAACAAACATTACATGGCACATAGCTGTACTTGGGATTCCCATATGTAAATTATGTACAGGAACCAGGGCAATAGGTTTGAGGTTTCTAAACTAGGAAACACACACTTCCGCTGTCACCTTCCACTCAGTTTTAAAAAGTCCACTGTCTCACTGATAACAAATAGAACAAACACTGTCAACGGGGGTGAAATTTCACATGTCAGAGACATTGATAGGAAATTTCTGTGACCTATTTCTTTGCGTGAGGCATAAAGTAGAAGGGAAGTGAGACAAAAATTAACATAAAAAAAGCCGACCTTCAAGTTGCGAGGTGTCACGTTACATTTTGGGTTTTTTTGGTAGTTTTTTTTGCAGCACATCCACTGATAATCACTATATGTACAACATAGGTTGTGTTTTTATATATATATATATATAATTATTTACCTGGAGTACCTGGAGGTTTTGGAGCCCTTCAAAGTCCAGGGCCCTGGGGGTAGTTGCCCACATGTCTGAGAATGAAACCTTGACTTCATGACAAGTTGTTTTTCTTTTTGCTCATGCTATATTTACATTTCTTTGTTGAGGGGTTATGCTGGCCCTGTGCCGTCACATGCTATGTGTCATGTAAGGGCTGCATAACTGTGAATGACTGCTGTGTTTCCTGCTGCCGGTAGAGACAAAAAAAAACGTGACACGTGATGAGAAAATGTTCAGTTTTCATGTCATACTTTTTACTTGTTCAAATCTAACAAAGCCATTCACTTCAGATTGCTACAATGAACACTTTCAATCACATTGAATGAAAGGATGAAAGTAAAGAATTGTCCCATATTCAGTATTAAAACATGGTGCTGATGCCACTTTGTCAAACAATGTAATGTAATATTGTTCCAATCCACTTACTGATGACACACCTGTCCAGGGTTGTAGTAGTGGGTTGTCAAAATGTGACTGATGTTAAGTGCTAGTGTTAAAGATATTCCAATTTAACTGAGGAACAAAATAACATAGTTACGCCTTAGAGCTGCCGTGACGCTCACAAGGCATGTTGTGCTGGTCTGATTGATTCATTTTTTTGGTAATTAGTACCTCTAAAGCAAAATATAAAGTGAAATGTTAAGCCTCTCATAAAATGTTTTTGTTGTTGTTTTTTTAACAGAACTAGAGGCCCTGTTTTAAACCCTTCATATTTACACTGAAAGGTTGGTATCCCTGTGAACCTCCTAAGTACATTTCTGCTCAATTAAACTAAAACATACTGTCTGGCACCATAGACTGTATAAAAGATGGACGTAGCTACCGTGACGTCACCCGTTGGTTTCTGCACTGAGAAAATGAAGCCAGGGTTTTGCTACTTCCTGGTTGACATCTTGGATTTTTGGAGCCAGTGATGCAAAAATCGGCGGAGGGGGGCGGAGCCATAGGAGCAGCGATTGGTCAGACGGATTGAGAGGCGGGCCCTCTCTGCCCGCCCACATTTACCGCCTTCTGCTCGCTTCGTCTGAATCGTCGCTGCCAACTGTCAATCAAGCCAGCCACGCCCCTTGCCCCACAAAATTTTGACGATTTTTAAAAAATTCAATATTGATTTATTTTCAGATTGCCCACCTGTTCTTGGAATTTGGCTATGAAAACTAATAAGAAAAAAATCCTGAGCTGTAGGAATGCAGTATTTCATGATCTGTGATCACTTCTTTTCCAATTCAAGTCTATGGGAGCCAGGGCTTTTTGGAGCCAGCAGCTGGCGGACGTAGGTTTTTGACACTTCTGGGTTGGCTTCATTTTTCAAGGGCTGGTTGCTACGTCCATCTTTTATACAGTCTATGTCTGGCACACAGCAAAAGGCAGGTGGTTTCTGGAGCTCTGGTCAAAATAAGATGTCTTGTGCGGTCTGGCGAGTGCTCTGTAAATCAGTCACCTAAAGACAACATTGTCCAGGAAGTAGGATGAATGAGGGTTCAGCAGAGGTCTGGAGTTAACTTTTGTTCTGGGTTGCCCTTTGGAGGTTGATCTAACCCTGCTACCTATGACATTATAACATTTTGAGAGACTCTTTTTGCAGACTTGTATTTGCACTTATTCGTCTTTTTTAATCATCTAAATTCTTGTAAACTAGTAGCAATATCTGCAGGCTATTTTGAAGACAAAAAAATCCAAAATGTTTCAACCGTGCATCATCACCATGCTTCACAGCTCATTTCAGTCTGCAGCACAGCAATGTAACTCATGCATATCCAATGATCAGTGAGCAGCAGTAGCACGACTTTATGTTAATGTGTGCAGTCAGTGACATATTTGGGGTAAATCAGCACAGTCACAGGTATTTTGGCTAAAAAATTGATTCATCTGTAGTACATTGCAGAAAATAAATCTGCAGAAGTGATCTGACAAAGCCGATAATGTGCAAAGAAAAAGTTTCTGCACAGTGGAGTTTCACAGCTGAGCAACATTTACAGAAAAACGTCTTATGTTACAATAGATAGAGGAAAACGTTGCTTTTATCTTTTACTAACTAGTTTGAGTTTGCTTTTTTATAAAAGGCTGCTTTTGAATTCTGTGTAACAATGGAATACACAAAAAGAGAGGTTTCTAAGAACATGAGTACATCTGAAATTAATGTTTCTCTACTGTGAAAGATCAAAAACAATAACCTCAGGTGTGAAAAAAGCCTTCTTGCTTTTAATATTTTTCACAGAATACAAAAGGTGACCTTCATTAACCCCACTGTAGGTAGTTCATTTCAGAAAAAAACATGTTTTAGTTTCAGTAAGGGAAAAACAATGAGACACTGAAGTTCCACCAACCATAGAAAGTATCACAAAGGTAGTAGATATGTGAATCAGAAGGGAAGTCACCTGCAGCTTACAAGAAAAGTGATCCGCCTGTGTGCTATAGCTGCACTATTGACATTCTGCCTTTACCTCAAAAAGCTCTTCTCATCAGCAGTGCAATGTCTCTTGAGTTTCTCTGTGGTGTGAGGGCGTGTGTGTGTGTGTATCACAGGATGCCACAACACGACGACAGTTTCTCATGACACACAGCAAAACCAGCAAAGAAAAGTTGTCTGAAAATATTTATTTACATGTATTTCCATCATTTTTACACATTACGTTGAAGTGACAAAAATGCAATCCTTCCATATATAGAATGACATGCAATAGCTGGCTTTATGTTTTAAGAAAAAGTAGGAACTTTGTTTAAATGACACGACTAAACAGTAAAGTTGACCAAAAAGGCAGGAACGTGATTACAAAGACTTTACAGAAAAATTAGAGGTAATCTGAAAATAATGTTCTAAAGCCTGACCTCTGTACTCAGGTTTAAATATCAATGTAAATAGCAGCTGAAAAATGGAACAAGTAGTGTGCATGCGAACAACAAGGTACGTGGTGCGTGGGAAAGTGACAGACAATGGTTGTGCCTTCCATCACGGTGGTTGCTAGAACCAACTGCCACCAAGTTTTTATTTTACGGTACTGCTGATGGAGAACGGAGGAGGGGACTTCTTCAAGCCGACCTTTCTGTAGAACAAAAAAATCAACCACGGTTACACATAGCCAAGAAGCAATTGGAAAAGAGGAAATAAAACGTATAAAACTGCATTTTGAAGGCCGGTGCAGAAAAATATACTTACGTTAGCACCTTGTCTTTCAATGACGGCTCTGCAAAACAAGAGGGGAACTAATGAATAAGTGTTTCTACGTGTCAACAGCATGAAGGATTCATCTTATTGTGGTCCTGCTGTCGGGTTGGGTCGTGTTGTGCACAATCAACCATGAAACCAGACGGTTTTCTAGTAATTTAAGTTGTTCGACATAAAAATAGGAAATCATGCAGGCATTTTTAGCTTTATGTGTGCAGATGTTAGATATCTGTCTCTGGGATTTGTGCTTCTACTGTGAAGGAGTTGAACAGAATTTGAGTTCAGACTTCTGAGTCAACAGTTATAATGACTATCTTTAGGCTGAAAATAGTTCATATTGTGTGAAATTATCAAAGTTTTTACAGAGGTATGTGGATTTTTTATAATAACCAGGTCAACATGTTGTTGCTGCTGGGCTTCTTGAATGCATTTTTTCAAGCTGTGTGCCCCATAAATCCTCTTCAGCTCCTTTGTATTGGAGAACAGACAGATATCTGAACAGCTTCATGGCTCAATACCACTGGAGGCAAGAGCAATGTAGGTGAACTCGCTCATTTAAGTTACACTCACTCTTTTTCTTGCAGCAGTTTTTGCATTTTTTGCATTTGTACTTGCAGCAGAATTGCACAATGCCGATGGTGAAGAGGATCGCCAGGATGCCGAAGCCCACAGCGACCCCGACTCCTGCCGAGTTTACTCTGCTCCCTGCAAATACACAATGTAGAGGTAATTAGATCATTGGCATAAACATATTTTCCAATAATCTGACAAGCATTTAAAGCACAAAATACAAGCCCGCTGAATGAAAAACAACATTCTATTTGAAATTCATAGGGTATTGTATTGTATTTCTGTCATAAATTATTACCAACTAAAATAGTCAATGTGGTTGCCTGGGCCTAATTGGATCAATATATATCTATGTGTTATGAATGAATATTCCCTCTGATGAAATTAGATTGAAAATCAATCTCGAGGGAAGATGCTGACCGTGAATTCATTACTCTTTGAAGAGAGGCTGAAACGATGGATATGGGGTGAGTTTAAAACAGAAAAATATGACTTTCAGAGAGATTTTTTTTTCTCCCTGCACAAGCAGCAGATGGGGAACACTTTATTCCTGAACTGTGTGAATTTTATTCATTCTTAGCACCTTTCAATCAACAGCTCTTTTGTATA